TAGTAGTAGTAGTAGTCGTAGTCTAAGTAGTATTAGTAGTAGTAGTAGTAGTAGTAGTAGTAGTAGTAGTAGTAGTAGTAGTAGTAGTAGTAGTAGTAGTAGTAGTAGTAGTAGTAGAAGTAGTACTAGTATTAATAGTAGTTTGTAGTAGTAGCACTAATAATATCAGTAGTAGTAGTAGCAGCAGCAGTAGTAGTGATCTGGCTATGATGAATATTACCAGTAGCGTTATGCCTCGTATTTGTCCTACGAGTAGTGATATTGGTAGTCGCTTTAGCATTGTGAGTCTTACTAGTATCCGGATCCATCATCCTTCTCCTCCTCCTCCAGTTCCAGCCATTCCTCCTTCTCGGGTTCCAGCCCCTCCTTCCCCTCCTCCTCCTCCTAATCATGCTCCTCCGACTGGTCTTATTGGTGTTAATGGTATTCAGATGTGTCGTATTCTTCGTAGCATTCGCATTACTACGATTGAGTACCATTCTTAGCAGTCAAATCCGAACTAAAAATGATACGCATGCTTGATTCCCCTCCTCATCATCAACATCATCCACTTCTTGTGATTAGTCTTGGTAGTGGCATGATTAGTTCCTCCTTGTCCTCCTCCTCCTCCTCCTCCACCTGCACCTCCACCTCCACCTCCTCCCCCACCTCTACCTCAACCGCCACCTTCACCTCCTCCTCCTCCTCCAACTCTTCCCCCTCCTACCCCTCCTTCTCCTCCTCCTCCCTCCTCCTCCTCCTCCTCGTCCTCCTCCTCCTCCTACTACTCCCCCTCCTCCACGCTTTCTCCTTATCCATAACTTTGTCCTGTCGCACCCCGAGGCCTGCCGAAGGGGCAGGCCAGCGTTTCGCCTGAGACTTCCTCACCACTTATGGCCCTGAAACTTAAACATTGGCACCAGCTTCACACATGGAGGGCGGGTCGGTTTCAATATGTGGCTCTCGCCTTAGCGCCGTGCAGGTTTGTTTTCAAAGTGTGCAGCATCCTTCACATATTGAGGGCGGGTCGTTTCCAAAATTTGCGTATCGCCTGAGCGCCGCGCACATTCTGTTTGAAATGTTGCAAGGGCTTCACGGATTGAGGGCGGGTCGTTTTCGAAATGTGGCTCCCTCCTTGGCACGCGCACATTCGTTCTTACATGTTGCAAGAGTTTCACAGGTTGTAGAAACAAGGAAAGGCGACACCAACACCACCAGGGCGAGAAGATGCGAGGAGGCAAGGGGGCTCTCCCTGGTGATGTGGTCCCCCCCCCCTTCGCTCGAGACATCTCCAGCTCGGGGAGGCATCGCGGACCTCCTCGCTGGAGGTGGGCCCCCTGGTGGTGTTGGTGTCGCTTCTCCTCCCTCCGAGGATTGAGGACGGATCGTTTTCAAAATGTGGCTCTCGCCTTAGCGCCGTGCACATTCGTTTTTAAAATTTGCATGGGTTTCACGGATTGACGGCGGCTGATGTTCAAAATGTGGCTCTCGCCCGAGCGCCGTAAACATCCCTTGTTAAACAATTGCAAGAGCTTCACGCACGCCCATGGCCAACGTACCATAATTTGTGCGTGGGGAAGATTCAGGATTATTACGGTGCAACAACTACTTTGAATCGTGGCGTTTGAAGTCCCAGGAACGGCAACGATTCAAGACCGTCGAGACGCAACAGTCAGGTTGATCCGTGCCGTTGGAGTCCCGAGTATAATCTTGTGGTACGCTGCCGGCCCTTCGAACGGTTGGAATGAACCGCTGTAGAGGCCTATGAAGAGGCAGCTTGGAGGGATGGACTGAAAACTCTAGGTTTTATACTGGTCCTCCTCCTCCTTGTTCTCCTCCTCCTCCTCCTCCGCCTCCTCTGCCTCCTTCTCCTCCTCCGCCTCCTCCTCTTCATCCCGCTCCCCATCCACTTCCTCCTCCGCTTCCTCCTCCTCCTCCTTCTCTTCCTTCTCCTCTTCCTTCCTCCTCCTCCGCCTCCTCCGCCTCCACCGCCTCCTCCTCCTCCTCCTGCTCCTCCTCTTTCTCCTCCTCCACCGTCTCCTCCTCCTCTCCTCCTCCTTCCTCCTCCCTCCTCCTCCTCCTCCTCCTCCTCCTCCTCTCCTCCTCCTCCTTCTCTCCTCCTCCTCTCCCTCCCCTCCTCCTCCTTCTCCTCCTCCTCCTCCTCCTCCTCCATCTCCCTCCTGCTCCTCCTGATCCTCCTGCTCCTCCTCCTGCTCCCCCTCCTCCTCCTCCTTTTCCTCCTCCTCCTTTTCCTCCTCCATCCTCCTTACCCTCTTCTGCCTCCTCTCCTCCACCTCCTCCCTCCTCCTCCTCCTCGCCCCTCCCCCTCCCCCCCCCCCCTGCCATTGCCCCTGCCAGCCCCCCCCTTCCCCTCCACAATTGCACAGTGTGAATACTCTCCTCTCTTCCCTGGTGACTGCTCTCACCCAAGCACTGGCCTCATTGTCGGGCTACCGCTCGTTCCGAATCGTGTTCCGGCTGCAACGCTGGCCTCATTTCGGCGCTTCCGCTTGTTCCGAATCGTGCGCCCGCTGCAGCGCTGGCGTCATTATTTCCAGCGCCATGTCACGGCATGGTGCTCGGTCCTTCCAAATAGGCCCCAAAATCTAGAACATGCCCCGGCCGAAAAAAACGTCGGAAGTGATTCCACATTCGGTGTCGGTTCGTTGATTTGGGGCGTCGCCACGCGATGCTATGTCAGGCTACGCGTCCTCCGAAACGTGCTCCCGCTGCAACGCTGGCGTCATTATTTCCAGCGCCATGTCACGGCATTGTCTCGGCCCTTCCAAATAAGCACCTGAAAATAACAAATGCCCCCCGAAGGAGCCATCTGAAATGATTACACATGCGATGCCGCTTCGTTGAGTGTTGGGGTCGCAGAAGCCGCCCATGTTGGGGCATCGCCACGCCAAGGTATGTCAAGCTACGCGTCAATCTTCAACACCATGCTATGCCATGTACCGATCTGCTCTGCTTCGGCATCCGACTGTGCGAATAGAGAGGAGATCTACGCAGTGGTGAGGGATTGGAGGGAGATGGGACGTCAGATATGACGCGAGCGCACCTAGCTCGACCTCCCCCTACCCCTTTCCCCTCGCCCTCCCTCTCCGCCCCCGCCCGCCTCCGCCTCCGCCTCCACATCCACTTCCTCCTCCTCCTTCCCCATATCCTCCTCTTCTCCCGGTGATTCGTAATAGTATTGTTCGTCGCATTCGTCGTATACTTAGTTTGCGTAGTACTATGAAACTGAGTCGTAGCATGCGTAGTCTGAGTACTCATAACGTCCGTCTTAGTATGGTGAGTCGTCTCCCTATTCTTGTTGGCAATATGAATACCATGGTTTGCGTAATCGTATAAGTGGCATTGCTCGCACCATTATAATTCGTCTTCGACTTATCTTGGTTCGCATTCGTATGCGTAGTGTGAGACGTATGCGTCTTACACAGATGCGTCTTCTGAATAATAGTCTCCCGTGTTTACATTACGCGTTGTCGTATGAGTTGTATTATTCAGGTTGATATATTAATTTGTCTTTGTAGTAGCATTTGCCTTAGTGCTGTTAACCTCAGTACACGTATCCGAAATCTTCTTATACGTCTTAGTAGTAGTAGTAGTAGTAGTAGTAGTAGTAGTCGTAGCAGCAGCAGCAGCAGTAGCAGTAGCAGTAGCAGTAGTACTAGTACTAGTATAAGTAATAGTAGTAGTAGTAGTAGTAGTAGTAGTAGTAGTAGCCGTAGTAGTCGTAGTAGTCGTAGTAGTCGTAGTAGTCGTAGTAGTCGTAGTAGTAGTAGTAGTAGTAGTAGTAGTAGTAGTAGTGGTAGTAGTAGTGTAGTAGTAAGTAGTAGTAGTAGTAGTCGTAGTAGTAGTAGTAGTAGTAGTAGTCGTTAGTCGTAGTAGTAGTCGTAGTAGTGTAGTCGTAGTAGTAGTAGTAGTCAGTAGTAGTAGTAGTAGTCTTCGTCGTCGTCGTCGTCGTCGTCGTCGTCGTCGTCGTCGTTCGTCGTCCGTCGTCGTCGTCGTCGTCGTCGTCGTCGTCGGTCGTCGTCGTCGTCGTCGTCGTCGTCGTCGTCGTCGTCGTCGTCGTCCGTCGTCGTCGTCGTCGTCGTCGTCGTCGTCGTCGTGTCGTCGTCGTCGTCGTCGTCGTCGTAGTAGTAGTAGTAGTAGTAGTAGTAGTAGTAGTAGTAGTATATTCGTATCCGTGTGTATCATGCGTGTGCTACGTATTGTTCTTAGTACGCGTGCCATCCATACGATTACGATTAGTCGTATTATGAGTTGCCCGCTGATTAATATCATTATTGAAGCAATGAGTAGTATTACTCATTCTGCTCCTACTGCTCCCCGACCTCCTCCGCTTCCTCCTCCTCCTCCTCCTCCTCCTCCTCCTCCTCCAACTCCGTCCCCTCCTCCTCCTCCTCCGCCTCCTCCGCCTCATTTGCTTCCTCCTCCTCCTCATCCTCCTCCTCCGCCTCCTTTCCTCCCTCCTCCTTTTTTCCTCCCTCCTCCTCTCTCCCCTCCCTCCTTCTCCTCCTCCTCCTCCTCCTCCTCTCGCCTCCGTCTCCTCCTCCCTCCGCCTCCTCCGCCTTCTCTGCCTCCTCCTCCTCCTCCTTCTCCTCCTCTCCCCCTCCCTCCTCCCTCCCCCTCCTCCTCCTGCCTCCATTTCTCCCTCCTCCTCCTCCTCCTCCTCTTCCTCCTCCTCCTCCTCCTCCTCCTCCGGGGCAACCGCAGCAGGCAAACCAAGCCTTGCTCCCGCCTGCCTCTCTACTTTTCTCGTGGCCGTTTCGGTCCCTTTTTGCTTGTAGAGGACGCCCGTGATTCGGACGCTTGTCTATGGGCGCGCTCCTCCTCATCTTCATTATCCTCCTCCTCATCCTCCACCTCCTCCTCCGCCTCGTCCTCCTCCTCCGCCACCTCCTCCTCCTCCTCCTCCTTCTCCTCCTCCTCCCTCCCGATCCTCGCCTCTCCCTCGATGTCCCGCGCGGCGAGCCCCGCGCCACACGCGCGCCGCGGCGCGCGCCGCGCGCCTCCGTCGACTCCGCGGCGCCACGCGCCACAGGCCACGCCCGCAGGAAGAGGAGCTCGCCCAGCAGCTGCTTCTCCTCGAGACCGTTTTCATTTTCCGGCGACAGCCCAGACCTCCTCTCCTCTCTCTCCTCCCCCTCCTCCTCCTCCTGCTCCTCCTCCTCCTATTCCGCCTCCTCTCCCTCCTCCTCCTCCTCCTCCTCCTCCTCCGCCTCCTCCTCCCAGACCTCCGACCTCCGAGGACACGCGATCACCCAGACCTCAGAGGATACGACTTGTGATGGATCGGGGGAAGGGGTCGAGACCTTTGGGCCGTGGGTTGACTCAATATCAGATCGGAGGATGCCTGGGGACCCAGGATATCCACTAGGGGGGGGGGGGGCTGGCCGATAACCTAACCTTTTCGAATCGGGCAGCCCCACGTTCGCCCCCGCGCACCAGCACTGCGTACCCCATTCTAACCTGCGCAGCCGAAAAGGTCAGGTTGTCCGCCAGGGAAGGGGGGGGAGGCGGGCGGGCCAGATAATCTGGGTTATCGCAGGACCCTGAAAAAGGTCACCTCTCGTGCGCCCCCCCCCTTCCCTGGAAGGGAGAGGGGGGGGGGCTCTGTCGAGGAAGCGACAAATGCAGGGCGGCCCCAGATGGGTGGAGCGGCGGGGGGTCTGAGGTGGCACCGCACTGGCTCCAGCCAGCAAGAAAGGGGGTGCGAGGTCTGAGGCGCTGGGTTCGACCAAGGCTTTTTGCTTTGTTATGATCTGCCTCTGGGGGCCCGGGGCCAGCAAAAAACAGCTCTGGGGGGAACAACTGCACCAAATGGACCCCGCCGGCAGGGCTGTTGACCGGGTTTTATCCTACATCCAGTGGAGGCCAGTCCACAAAAAACCTTCCACAAGAACCCCAACCTAGAGACCCCAGGACGTCCACTGATTGCTGGTGAGGCAACGCCGCGCTCTCCACAGCAACACGATCGAAACCCAAGAACCCCAGGGCACCCTGCAGGCAAGCAGGGTGCATTTAGGCATGGGCCTCCACGGTATTCCTGCCTCTTGACCGATTTTTTCGGGCCCCATCTGCGTATCGTTTATCCGATCCACATCCCCACCAGCATGGCATGGGCCCCACTGGCCGGTTTACCCCCCTAGATGGGGGTACAGGCCGGTCCCTTCGGGTTTCGGGGGGTGTATCCCCAACTGGGGTGGTGGTACTTTGGTGGGGGTCTCAGGTGGCCACATGCGAACCTTGCCCCTGCCCCCCACGATTTCTGAGGGAGAGGGTTCGCATGTGGCCCCCTTAGGTCTCGCAAGGGATGGGGATGGGGATGGGGATCGTTTGAAACGATACCGACTATCCAGTTCAGACCCCCCGGGCCGCCTCCCAGCCCAGAGGCAGGATCTCAGCCGGCACCGCATGTCAGTGGTGCCATTCTACTGGCGAAGCTTTTGACGACAAAACGCAATTCAAAAAATTAAACGCTTAATCGCAAAATGCTCGGTATAGCGTTGGACCAATCGCGGCTGACTGAACGCGAGAACGCGAGCGCCCGCGCGATGCTCCTCGCTGCAGACTGAAGCCCCGATGGGCACCACGATCACAGCGTTTGGCGCGAAAGGGCGCGGACCGAATTGCCTGCCAATCGCGACGTTGCGATGAGGAACCGCTGCGCCAATGACAGCGGCAGCGGTGATACATCGAACAAACACCTTGGAGCAAGTGTCATTGCGACAGCGACATCAAAGGCGCCATTACGTTCAATGACACATTGGAGGTCGCGCAACCACGCGCGAACCCCACGCGGCACTACAGCGCGCAACCGCATGATGAACGCAAACTGCACAAGCCAACGCGATGCGCGTGCCTGCGCGCGCTAACCCACAACCAGTGGCTCGCACGTGCGCGCGCGCACGTTCGAGGGCGATGGCATCGCCAGAACTCGCGGCGCGATGGCAACTGGCTGTGCAAATTTGCAGGTCGCCAGGCGCACTTCTGAAAGTTCTTGGGGTCGCAAAACCATAATGAAAACCGCGCCGCGCATCCAAAGCGACGCGATCACGCGAGTAGGGCCGCCCGCGCACGGCAAGGCGCGAACGCAAACCCAAGCTGGAAAAAAACCAGCGAGGTATGGAATCGGATTGCAACGGGCGCTGGTTTTCAGGGCGCGCTAAAAACGCATCGCGCGTCGAAGCGCGACCGCCAACAGTCAGCTATGAGGCTGGGCACCCTCGCTGGGAACGGTCAGAACTCAAGAGCAGCGGCCAGGAATTGATGGGCGCCTCGAACGGCGGCGACAACAAAAACACACACACATCCTCTCGTCGCCACACGGCGCAAGAAGCGGCGCAGTCGACCGCGCACGTCCGCACCGCGCAGATTAGCGCAAGACGCGACGCACAACGAAGGGATTGAAAGCCCGCTCGCGCGCGCACGCGCGCACGCCGCAAAGGCGGGAGCGCGCCCCCGCGGGCCTGCGCGCGTTCCGAAGGGCCGACAGCGCGCGCCAGCGCAGCCTGCGCACTGGGCGTCGACCCACCGCGGAGACGACGTCGACGCAGAGGGTTCTGTGGAGCCAGAATACTTGAGCCAGAATGGTCGGATCCAAAATTGCAACAGAGGGGGGGGGCGCCGGGGGCGGCGGGGGGGGGCAGGAGCGGAGGGTCTGGCGGGGCGGGGGCCGGAGGCGCAGCGGGGGGACGCAGAGTAGAGCGCGGCGAGGGGGGGAAGGGGGTCGGAGGGGAAGGAAAGGAAGGCCGCCACCATGCTTTCGCACGCAGAGGCGCGTGAAAACGCTTCGCGCTTCGATTTGGGATTATTTCCAACGTTCTCTAAGGCGTATGACGTACTTGCAGTTCGACAGGATATGCAATCGCACCCCGTCTGGCGCGCGCAATGCGTCTGGTTAGTGTCATCGAGGCCACGGCCGTGCATAAGTGACACAACAGCCGCCCCGTCTCAACAACCATCTGTTTGATCGTTTCAACCCCCGCGCGTTCCAATCCAATGTTGGCCCTACGCTGCCCGACAGGTTCCAAAGCGGGCCCCGAGACGGCCGCGCGTGGCCCCGAGGCGGCCCGCGAGGCGCCCGCGGCGGCGCAGGAAGACATCGCGACGGCCCCTTGGGGATCCCAGAAGGCGCGCCGCGACCAGCTAATCCTTTGATTCCGCACCGACAAGACCCACGAAGGACGCACGAGGCGGCGCAAACGCGCGCAAGGATATCCGAGGGCCCCCACCACAGCACCGAAAGACAAATACTATTGATCTATCCTTGATTATATTCAAGATGTGGAGGTCCGCACCTTTCGGGCTCCCTGGCGCCCCAGGGCGGCCTTCGAGGTCCCCAAAGACCACTCCGAGACGGCCAACGACCCCTCAGAAGACCGCCCGATTGTCGGAGAGGGCCCCAAGACGGCCCATAAATCATCATAGATTATCAAACGACGCCCACAGGCGGTCTCGAAAGGAGTCCGCGAACAGGAAAAGCACTCAACCCGCGGCCGCCCAGGCGGCCCAAGAGCTCCGCAAGGGCGGCCCCCGCGCTGGTCCACAGAAGCCGACGCCATGCATGTTTCATCGTTTGTGTCCACGTTTGAAAAATCTGTCGCGTTTGTTTTCCGCATTTTCGGATGGGCCGCGAGATTTCTCCGAACGCCCCAAAAAAACTTCCAACGAGGTCCTCAACGGGGCCCATATGACGGCCCCGAACGGCCTCAAAATGACGGAAAACGAATGCAGGGCCACGCGAGGACGCGCCACGATGCCCCCCTTATCAAGCACAAAACCTGGGACAATGCGGGGCCAGTGTGCAAATTAGCATGTGCACCAATGCACCCAATGACATTTTATCAAACCTCAACTGTCCGAAACCATGCGTCTACCACATGTCAGCAACAAAAAAAACTGATGTGAAAACGCAACTGTCCAAAACGAGTTTCCTGGACAATTGAATCGCGGTTCTGATGTCTCGAATGTCATGCCGCAGGTTGCCTTCATCATCCGCCACAACACTGCGGAACCTCAACTGTTCCTAACAATTGTTTCCCTGGGCTCCTTACCACCAGGCTAACCCAACAACGCGGATAAGAAACGCCCAGCCACCAAACAAAAAAAAAAAAACGTAACCTGGCGAAAAACCCAACCATATACAACTGGGGGCTCCATGTGGGGCCGCGGACCGTGTGAGGGGTGCGTCCATGTGACGTGGCGCCGCCATGTGGACCATGCTACTGGGGCCTTCGGTGGACCCCCCTGTGGGTCCACGAACCGCGCGCTGGGTTTGTAGCCGCACGATTTGTGAAGACCGCATGCGGGGCGGCGCACGATTTGTGAAGACCGTCTGCGGTGTTCTTGGCCAGAGGATTTGTTAACACCGTCTGCGGGGTTTTTGGCGGCACGATTTGTTAACACCCTGGGCGCGAAACGATGTGCGAACACCTGGGCGCCGCACGATGTGGTAACAACCTGGGCGCCGCGCAGTCCCACCAGCCCTCTGGGCGTAGGTGGTTTGGGGAGTTTCCTCTTCCAACCCCCTTTCTTCCCCTTGGGGGAGGGGTTTACCCCTCCCCCTACCCCCTCCACTGGACCTGGACGGGAGGTTTCGCTGGTAGTTGGAGCGTCCAAGATGGCCCAAGATGGCTCCAAGAGCGCCTCGGGGAGCCCAATATGAGCTCCAAGATTGCTCAAGAAGCTAGCCTCAGATGCCTCAAGACGGCTCCGAAGATGCTCCAGTAGGCCCGAAAACCGCCCCAGGACGGCTCCGAGAGGCCAGCTAGGTGCCCCAGGAGGCCTCCAAGAGGCCAAAATCCTTCAAAAACCGAAGGAACATCAATGCGTGTTGCTTTCTCACCCTTTCGCTTCCGATGGCCTTCCGAGGCCTCAAGATGGCTCCAAGAGGGCCCAAGATAGCCCCAAGAGGGGCCCAAGATGGCCTCAAGACGGCCCCAAGAGCGCCCAAGAGCGCTCCAAGAGCGCCTCGAGATGAGCCCAAGAGGCGATTTTAGAGGATCTAGAGAGGCAGGCCTAATTAACCCCACTCTCTTCTTTGATCGATCGCCTCCAAGATGGCCCTAAGAAGCGCCAAGGA